CTTGAGAGGTTTATGACTGAGTGAGGCCGAGGGCCTGATTTGTGAGGATATTTATGGGATCGGGCTGCACGCCGCATCATGTTTGATATAGACCGAGGGCCTGAGTGATTTATGCCATGATTTGGCGTGATATAGCGCTTGGGCTAAAGGAGCCCCTCAGGAGTCTGTACACACACCCAGTGAGCGCAGGTACCTACTGAGTGCGAGTGCCGAGTGCCGAGTGCTGAGTGACTAGGAGACATGAGTGATTGTGAGGTATGCCCGAGTGGCAAGAGTGATTGTGAGGTTTGCCCGAGGGGCTGTATATGAGTGATGCTTTGCCCGAGGGGCTATTTATGATTTCATCATTTTTGCTCACCTTTGCATTTTTCATCTGTTTGAAAACTGTTGAAAAATATCCTTAAATGATTTTTAACTGGAACTGGGTTTAGACGAGATATTTTGATTCAAATCCTGATTTTAAAAGCATGAGGTATTTTACTGAGATTTCATGATATGAACGTTATATGTTTTATTGCTCGTCACTACTGCTCAGTCTTTATATATTGTTGTTACTTACTGGGATCTGCACACAAGGTACAAACGGTTGTTTATTATTTTGGTGCAGATTTTCTAGGAGATAGAAAGGTAGTTATTTGGCGATCGCAACCCCTACTCTTCTCCCTCTTATCTTCCTCTAGTTGTATTTAGCTATTTTCCAGGCTGAGTTAGCCTTGATATTGTTAGACAGATTGTAGTAGATGCTCATGACTAGTGACACCCCGATGTCAGGCTTTTCTTTTCCGCACTTTTGTTTGATTTGAACTCCTTTACAAAGATTTTTAAACTAAATGTCCTTGGAATTATCCTTGAAATGAAAAATATCGGTTTGTTTTAGAATGAGTCGGCTTGCCTAGTACCACGATAGGCGCCATCACGACAGGGGTTAGATTGGGTCGTGACACTTTGCAATCACGGTCAAAAGCTTCACCATCGTGAAGCACAAAAATTCGGTTGCCCTTAAAAATACTCTATGCGATCATGTCTGTACCCCCGCAATTGCAAAAACTAATGTGCCACCCCTACGCAAACGCGAGCTCCTCTTGGCGAACGCAAAGACCAACATTCCCTAGCCAGGCCCCGACTCTATGCAAACGCAGAAACATCTTAGCGAATGCGAAGGCAGTCTTCCTTCCTGACTCCACAACATCACGAACGCGATCGCACTCACGCGATTATGATGCTCCTACCAGGCCACTACGCGAACACTAATGCGATGAGCAAAAGCTCACATGCCAACCTCTCTTCTCCGCGATTGCGAAGCACTATCCTGCACCAAAAACCAGCAGCAGCAAATCAAAGGGAAATGGTGCAAAACCACCATGAAACACACCCGAGTCCTCGGGACTCCGTCCAATCATACCAACAAGTCCATATACCTAATCCAAACTTATCCAAATGCTCAAAACACCACAACTAACATCAAAACCAAGAATCGGCGATCAATCCATCTCTTAACTTATCATGACCCAAAATCCAATCGGAGTCGTGATGGCACCTAAGACCGCTTGCTAGGCAAGTAAACAACCAATATGTGTAAATAAACCTAAATAATAGTATTAAATATTATCAAATGAGGAATAATATAAATAACTGTACAACTGAAAACCATCCCAAAATCTGGTGTCATCGAGTACATGTGCTCCATAGAGTAGTAAGTACAAGATCTGATTAAAATACAATATTGTCTGAATGACTTAGAGTAATAATAGGGACTAGGAAAAGGGACTTCAAGGCCTATGAATGAAACAACAATGCTACCTCGGAGTCTCCAATAGGAACAGAAGCTACCCTCTAGCAATCACTACTATCAGAAGCACCTGGATCAGCACATAAAATTTTTTTTTTGATAAGAAAATTTCAATGGCATTGAATCACTAATTATAAACATGCTATTCAACATAAAATAGTCAACACTACCAACATTCAGAACAAATGAAGCTCCATATTGGTCATGAATCAAATGTCAAAAGCACTAGATGAAACAAAGCTAAACAAAATTTGTATTGTTGATAAGTTCGACAAGTAATTTTGATACAAAAAACAAAAATCTCAGCAGAAGTAGATCCTATCCTAAACTTTGAGTAAGGCCCAATGAAATTTTTCCAAAAAACCGGGGTTCTGTGATGCAGGGGAAAGCGTAAAGGTTAATAATAGTAGAAATTCTTCGTGGCGAGCTTGCGAGCCGCAGTTTGGACTTTTTGGATTAAATAGAGCGCTGGGGAGTTGAAGAAAATGTTGGGCAGAAGTAGGCATTTCTGCGGCCTATTCTGCAACCACAGAACCAATCTGCGGACCGCAGAATGGTCGCAGAGTGAGTCAGTTTTCTGGGTCATTTTGATGTCAATTTCGCGGTCATTATGCGATCACATAACCACTTTGCGGGCCGCACTCTTGTCGCATATCCCGCTTTGGGATTTTTCGGAGGGAGGTTCTGCGGTGCACAATGCGACTGCAGAACCGTTCTGTGGTACATTATGCGACCGCAGAACAGGTCTGCGGACCGCATAGTGACCGCAGACCCAGACAGATTTTTGGCCAGTTCTAGACACTAATTATGCGGCTGAAATGCGGTCCGCATATCGATTATGTGATCGCAGACCTTGTTCCAGAGCTTCATTATTAGGTTTTTAAGACCCGACCCTACTTCATTGAATACACGCTTTGGGCCATTTTTGAGCTAAAATCTGATATTTTAGAGTGAGAGAGAGTGCCCTAGAGTGAGAAAGTGTTCCTCAATAATTGCTCTTCAATTCTTGCTCAAATTTTGGAAGATTAATAAAGGAAACTCACTAGGTCTTCATCCTAGAGGTAAGATTCTACACCCTAACCCTCAATCTCGAATTTTGTCTAGAAATGGGTAATTAGCAAGATAATTTTTGGGCATGAGAGTTATTTATTTTACATGCATGTGTTATCAAAGGGTGTAGGAAGATTGTTGAGCTAAAAATGATAAAGATTGGGTTGTGGGATGATGGAATCCTCCATAAAAGGACCTTGAAACCTTAATGCACACCTAGTGTTTGATAAAATGCCTAAATGAGCTAGAACCGTGAGCATCTTCCTAATTTTGGTTCAATTTGTTATATTTCTAAAATAGATTGAAGTTGCTAATAAATTCCAGAATATTTTAGAGTTTAAGGAAGCTCCATTGAGGTATGTTGGCTAAACTCTTCTTTAAGAATTGGAACCCCAATATCCTTGTAAGTTCCAAGATATTTATTATAAGTTGAGTATTCCGAATATGTTTTGTGACAAAGATAAATATTCGATTCGTGTTTCAAATCCTCTTATCATATTGTATTATAAATTGAGGATATGTTCCAAACTATGGATTTATGTGGAAAACTATTATACCAAATTGCATAGAGATTGTGATTGGGGTTACACCTCCACCCACATATATTAGGGTGAGACGGAAGAGCCTCTTTGTGTATGATTTTGGTATTGCGTAGAGATTGTGATTGGGGTTACACCTCCACCCGTATATATTGGGGTGAGGCGAAAGAGCCGCTTTGTGTATGATTTTGGTATTGTTGTTGCACCACCACCCACAGGGGGTGAGGCGGTATGGTCGCTTTGTGTAGGTATTGGTATCGTTGATGCATTTCCACCCGCATGTATTGGGGTGAGGCGGCATAACCGCTTTGTGTAGGTTTTTGATAATGTGGTTATACCTCCACCCGCATACATTGGGGTGAGGCGGTAGGGCTGCTTGAGTAGAGTTTTGGTATTGTGTTTACACCTCCACCCGCATACATTGGTCTGAGGCGGCGGGGCCGCTTTGTGTGAAAATGGTTACAGAGGATCTCATCTTAAATTCTATAAATGTTAATGACAGCTTTTGGTAAGCTTGCTTTGGTTTAAACGGCTATCTATGTTATTTTATTGTCGCCTTGATTCATCATATTCATACTATATTTCTGAATTCTTAAATTGGTGTTTGGTTTTCATACTAGTACTATTCGACATGTACTAACGTCCCTTTTGCCGGGGGCACTGCATCTTTAATGGATGCAGGTGGTTCCACAGCGGAGGATACTAACCAGTGATAGCAGTGCTCATTCTTCCCAGCTGACTTGGTGAGCCCCATCTCATTCCGGGGTTGTGCATATTTTGTTTCGTATGTGTTATCGTGTTTTGAGGTATAGCCGGATTCTTGTTGCCGGCACAATCATTGTACTCTTTGGTATTTTAGAGGCTCCATAAACATAGTGTAGGTTGTGTATTGGTGCTGGGAAAGTCAAACTATGTTATGTTGTGGTGGCATTACTTGTCCATTTGAGACTTTAAAAATGATGAAATTATTGGTAATGAATTGGTATTGTAGACATGAACACCTTTTTGTCTAATTATGGAAAACATTTATTATCTCCATTCATGGATAAGTTTGGGTAGAAGGAAATCTAATAGGCTTGCTCGGCCGGGTTCACTCGGTTGAGCGCCGGTCGCGCTCCCCGATTTTGGGGTGTGGCACTTTGATAGCTTATTTTCTTATGGGGAAATACATCTCCTTCTTCTTCTCTCTCTCTCTGTCTTCAAGGATGCCCGGTGCTTAGTCAAACGTCTGTGGACTACCCTTGTTTTCTTGGGGTAAAGGTCAAGAGGCAAGTACTTTTTGTTCTTGTAAGCTTCCCGAAGAACTGACTTTTGCTTTTGTGAGATCACAGTTAAAACCTGTGCAATCGACAACCTTACAACCTTTATTTTGGATAGCTTGTTAGGGGCACCACCGGTGAATTTAGCAACACGGAGAAGGGCAAGTTTAGCCTTCAGATCCTTCAACTGAGCCAACAGCTCTGTCTTCGATTTGCCCCTCAGCTCATGAACCTTTATTCTCGCCATGGCTTCTCCTTTGAGGTTACTGCTTAGAAGCTGAAGAGGATTTAGGGTTTTTTGCACATAAAGTTCAGAGTGTAGTATGAGTACAACCGACCTCATTTACTCTATAAGTAAAAACCCTAACCTCGAGCAGAAAGCAGGGACGAGCTTGGCAAAGTCCAGTATTCATTTTCAATAGCCAACAACAACAATAACAGTATAACGACGGCAAAAGGAAAAATAGCTCAAGTAATAAAAGTTAAACCTTTTCATAATAAGAGGATAAATAAGCATACTTTTCAAGTATAACAGTTAAGACATAAATCTTTTCATAAAAATCACTTAGACATGGCTTTATCAATTTAAATGTGATTCCAAGTTCTAAGCATCAAATAGAGATATCAAGTACCAATTGGCATGAGGAAGGAAATACAAATCTATGCCTACACGACAAGTATACATGCCAAAAATCCATGACATCGCAGTTTAATCATCAAACAAATTTGACAAGTATACATGCAAAAAATCCATGACATCGCAGTTTAATCATCAAAAATACCAAATCACAACACATGTATAGTACCTGGCACAAGTACCCTTCCATCATCACACACACACATCACACACACACACACTCAACATCGTACGGGTGCCTGACATAAGACCCTCACCAAGCACGTATCAAGTGCCTGCACTCATTGGGCCCAAAGTAGCATGGGTTATCACCTGACGCCGGATGGGAGGATCCTAGCCCAAGCACTGATCGGATCAAAAGTCAACGATCATCATAACTCAGCCTAAATGGCTTGGCATACACAACACCTCACTATCAATACCACTCAGCCCAATATGAGGTACGACGTACATGTCACCTCACTATCAATATTAGCACGGCTCTATAACCTAAGTTCAGTCATTAATCCGCTCAAATCACCATATGCCAACATATATCAGTATCAAAATCAATATACGCACGAATTATACCAATGTGCCACAAATTTGCTCAAACTTGTGTCACACAAGTAAGGACATTAACAACATGTGAGATAACATATAAAAAGCATACGGAGATGGTCATATTGCACACGGATATAATATCATGACTGGAAAGAAATATGACCGCAATCAAGGCAAATATCTCAACCTAGCAAAACAACTCTATCATGTCTCAAACGGATAAGCATATAGCCTAGACATGATATCTAGCATGAATAATAGCTCATGTATTCATACAAGTAGAGAAAATATGGTAACAAGGAGGCATGATAGAAAAACAAGGCACATAATAGCCTAAAGTCTGTTGGAATCATGGATAACCACGATGTAGCATATACGCTTGTCACCTCATACGTGCATCACCCCCAACATATATATCAAATAACATAGGCAACGAGATTACTCTCAAACCAAACTTAGGCAAGATACTTACCTCAAATAAGCCAAATTAATACTCCAAAAAAGCATTCCCTCATGAATCGACCTCTGAATGGCTCGAATCTAATCAAATAACATACCATGGTGTCAAATAATGATAAAGGGAACAATAACAGAGCATAAAGGCTCGATCTTTAATCAAATACACAAAGTCAACTAAAAGGTCAACTTGGGCTCGCATCCCGGAACCCGACAAAAGTCACAAATCTTGATCACCCATTCCAACACGAGTCCACATATACAAGCTTCATCCAAAGCTGACTCCGCATCGGGAAAATCTCAATTATTCATTCTCCAAAATTTCTTACAACCCCCCCCCCCCCCCAAAACATCAACCAAAAGCCAAATCAAGGATATAATAACGAATAATAATCAAATCTGAGTTAAGAACACTTACCAATCCAAGTGGATAAAAATCGCATCAAATATCGCCCCAATCCGAGCTGCCAATCTAAAAATATAAAAAAAATGAAACCAAACCCTTGATTATAATATTCTGCCCACTGGTTTCGCATCTGCAACTAATTATACTGCTTCTGCAACGTCGCTTCTGCGACAAAAGAATCCCTTCTACGAGTTTCACAAAAATCCCGACCACTCACACTTACGGTCTAACATGCACTTTTGTAGATCCTCTCTTGCGGACATAACTTCACATATGCACAAGCACATTTGCGCACAGACCTCTGTATCTATAAATTCCCCTGCCCAAGCCCAATTATGCTTCTACGGACTCCTCGATACACCTGCGATCTCGCACGTGCACCAAAGTTCCGCAGTTGCCACACACCAGAACTAATACTACCAACTTCTCCCAAATGATCTCCATCTGAAACACTCTCGAGCCCCTCAAGACCCCATCCAATCGTACCAACAAGTTCTAATACATAATCTAAACCTATCCAAAGACTACAAACACCGTACTTAACATCAAAACCAAGAATTGTTGCTCAAAATTAATCTCTTAGGTTCATAACTTCCAACTTCAAACCAAGCATCTGATTCAAGCCTAACCAATTCGGAATGAACCCAAACTTTGGATACAAGTTCCAAATGACAAAATAGACCTATTCCAATCTCTGGAACAACAACAACAATACAAACTAAGGCTGGCAAGTGGGCCGGTGCAGGCCCGGGACCGCGGGCCAAATGGCTAAACGGGCCAGGACCGTTTGGTCCGATTTTAGCGGTNTTAATCCCAAACTTTTTATAATTACACTTTTTCCCTATTTTCAACTATAAATACCCCATCATTACTTCATTTTTTCTTACAAAATCATCAATCTATCACAATCTCTCTCTAATTTACTTCTATAATTGCTACTATTGCTTACTTTATTGTTACAATTTGTGAAACAATTGTGAAGTTGGTGAATTGAAGTCTTCAACGATAATCAATTTCCAACAAGTTGTTCGTCAATTCGGTAAACTCGTTCCAACTCTTAAGTTTTAATATTATAATTTTGTTTGTTTTATTTACTTTGCTTGATTAATTAAGATGGCTTATTCCTTAAAAAATATGTTTAGTAAAAATAAGGAAAAATCGAAGAGTGGTGAATCTAGTGGCCAATCTGTTCCTCCTCCACTTTTCCCGGCTCCCCGACCCAAACCTGTTACCCGTCCTACACTTCCTATTCTTGATAGCGCTAATAGTTTATTACAATTTACCGAGAGTCAATTTTGCCAAAATATTGCACCCGGCGAACAATTAAACCATGAATATATGAATGCTCTTTATGGTAATCCAACT